ATCACAGGTCAAACTCAAAGCTAATCAGTTTGTCACTCTAAACTGATACATCCCAGCCCCTGTCAACAAACCCATCTGAAGCTATACTTGATTCCAAAATAAAGACAACATCAAGTTCATAATTCTACTTAACAAAATATAACCATCTTGCTTACAACTGGCGACACATCAACTCTTTCACCAAAGTATCAAATATTCTAGCATTTTAAAGGTTAAATTCTCAGGTGTTCCCTGAGACTCAAGGCAAAGTCTTAGCTGTGATATTCTGTAAAAGTCAAAATTAAATTATGTCATCCTAAGGCACAATAGTGCAATATAAATATTTCCTTTCCAAAAGGTAGAGGAGGGGAAAAACAATAGGACCAGAGCATGTCCAAAACTCAGTGGGACAAACATTGTCCTGTAGTTTCATGTCTATCCTGCAAGCTACACAGAGATAAAGTGTTAGTCCACAGTATGTCAGCAGCTCCACAACAGTAAGTTTTGTGGTTGTAACCCACAGAGCCACCTTCTTCAGGTGACTTCATTCATCACTCACAGTGATTCTTGGCATGTCGTTGACATCTCTGACTTCCTCGGGTCTCCAGTGCACTTTTAACTTTATCCCTAAATCTTCTTAGGAGCTCTATGCTAGGCCTTTCAAGTCTTCTTTTTACAATGGTATTGTTTAGATAGATATAATGTGTTGTAATGTGTTGTGTAAATATACATAAAGATCACATTCTTCAGAGTGAATTTGTACCTACAAATATTGTATCTTGATTCCTCTTTTTCCTATTTCCCTTCTCTTCATTCAACCTCTCTTCCCATCATTATTTACAGAGCTTTGTTTGCATTTTATTCTTTTCTCATTATTTTTCTTTACTCTTCCTTCCCCACTCCCTCTTCCCCAGTTCCCTTTTTGTTTTGAAAAATTTATTATTTCAAAATATATATGATACATTTTGGATCTTATTTACACTTTCACTATCTCACATCAGAGAAACAATGTGACATTTGCCCATGTCAAAGTTATTTCACTTACTAGTATTGTTTTTAGAACCATCTATTTAGTTACGAATTTCTCAAGATCTTCTTTCTTTAAGGCTGAGTAGCACTAAATTGTATTAAAAAACACATCTTTTGCATTCATTCATTGATTGGTGGGTATTTGGGCTGTTAATAAAATTTAGCTATTACAAACTGTGCTGCTGTAAACATGGACGCACATATATTACAATGATATGATGTTTTCAATTCTTTTCAAAAGATGCCAAGAGAAGGAATAGCTGGGTCAAATGGGACTTCTAGTGTTTGAATAGATCTTTACACTGGTTTCCACAATTGTTGCAACTACTCTAAATTCCCACCAATAGAGGAGAAGTATTCCTTTATCTCTACAGTTCACTCAGCATTATTGGTTGATTTCTTGATAGTAACAATTATTTCCAGGGTAAGATGGAATCTTAGCATTGTTTTAATTTTTGTCTCAACTACTGAACATTTTTTCATATATTTATTTGTTGTGTGTACTTCTTTATCTGAGAAATGTCTATCATATCCGATGCCCATTTTTGTATTAGTTCCTTAAATTTGGGAGGGGTTTGATTTTTTCATTTCATATCTGAGGATCAGTAGAATAGATTAAAAGATGAAGAAACATATCTAAACACATTGAGCTACTTTATGTTTGACAAATTGGCCAGATACGTTCCCTGGAAGACTTTTTAGAAAGTGGTGCTAGAAAAACTGGTGTCCTACGTGTTGAAGACTAACATTAGACCTGTTCTCTTACCAACACTAAACTAAAATAAAACTAGATCAGATACTTAAATATTAACACAGAAACACTAAATATTCTGGAAGATAAAATAGGTACAACTCTTGAAGACATAGGGGTAGCCAAGCCCTCAAGGAAAAAAACCCTTCACTGCATAGGAAATCCTATAAAGAATTAATAATTAAAAAGCTTTCACACAGCAAAAGAAATCATCAATAGAGTGAAAAGACAACATGCAAAGTTGGAAAAGTTTTAAACAGCTGTTTCTTAGCAAAAAGACTAATATCTAGAACAAATAAATAATTTAAAAAATTTTGTTTTGAAATCTGGATGGAAGCCACCCTTATTCACAAATCTTTCATGTTACACATTGGTAAAATCATCATCATCATGTGGACAACATATATCTTTTAAAATATCTTTTTACTCTAGAGATGGTTACATGCCAGATATCAAATTTAAATATCATAAAGTTTTATTTTTCTGAATAAATATTCATTGAAAATATTCTCTTTTTGTACTTCAACAGATAGTTTAAATATGTTACCAACATGTCCAATGTCCTTTGATAGTTTTCCTTTAAGTTGGGTTAAAGAATTCCCTCACCTGCAACAAGGCCTCTTGTACCCGCACCTGTGTTAAACTTTCTTCTCCTTCTCTGTGTTCTCCCCATTTATTTCTTTGCAAGACAAACATTCATAAGAATTTGTGTCTCCAATGACAAGGTTCTCTGATGATGAGACTGCACAATAGGCCTACAGATGGCAAGTGTCCACAAACATTACCTTGCTAAAACTGAAGATTCTGAGCTCTACCCAGAACAAATGGAAAAAGAATCTGTATCTTAAAAAAACTATCTAGGGAAAACACAGACATCTTAAGTTTAAGCAGCCCAGGTCCAGGCCACCTCCCCCAAAGATCCTCTGCCTTTGTTTTTTCTTTGCTGTTTTTCCTGGTCTCTGCCTAGTAAAACTTCTCATCAGATTTTGGTGTAAAGTGAAAAAACGAGACATATGTCTGAAATTTAAATGGAAGTTTTCACAAGGAGAGCAACTTTTAATTGCATCTTGGAAGGAAGGTAGACAGTTTGAATCATTAAAATTATATTTTGATAAGAACAGATAAGGCCATAAAAATGAAGGCACTGAGAGCATCAGATTTTGTATGCAAATTTCTCAGTAGTGTCACCTGTAATGGAAAATGGTGGAATAAAGTGTGATTTCAATAGTTAGAATTGGAGCTACCTACAGTGAGGCAATGTTTATGATTCTAAAATTTATAATACCCTATGGGATGATCTAGATTTATTTGCACACATTCAAATCAGCAATGCCCACTTGAAGGTTTTCACTTCATCCTGTGGGGAATCCTCAGATATTCTTAGGGGAATTACAGCTCTCCACATCACCTTCTCCTAGTAAAAAATACAGAAATGTACAACTGGTTGATTCTTGTGTTCAACACAGGATTATATAAATGATGTTTCCTTCGCTTACATGATGAAATCTTTAAAATAATCTAATGCAAAGACTTTCTCACTGTATTTTTGAAACTCCTATGCTGTCATGTATTATTGCTGCTTTTGAAAGCCTGGCATTTTAAAAAGATCACCATAATTTCTTAGAAGATATTGGTAACAAAACTTACTTTACAATATTAATTACTACTTATGAAAAAAGTATATGATTGATAGTTTGACATTTATTTATAAATATTTTGCATTTCTTTTGAAGAATGTAAAAATAATTGTGGGGAATAAATGGTAAAGAGTAAATGACATTTATATTTTATTTCCATGACTGAAGTATGGATGAGCAAAATAGTTACAAAAGGAATTGTTCTTTGTGTCAATGATTCATTATCTTATTAACACACCCATAATGATTTTACAAGTTCTGATGAAGTAAGAAAATTAAGTGTTTTAAACTAGGTTTAAAGATTCAAGTACTAATAAGCATTGTATAAGAAATATTCATTTTTATTATGATATAAAGATCCATTCTGTGAAATCACATTTCCTGATTAGATCTTTTAAGGTCTTTTAATTAAATAATATTTCCCCCTTACCTTCCCATTTGTGACAATAATTTCACTGTACTGCATATTATATATCATACTTATATCACTGATATTAAAATATATATATAATGTAATATTTATATCTATAATGATATCTGTATTATTATAATATAACATATAAGGAGATGAAAATATAGAAATACATGTATATAGAATTGAATATCTGTGTATACACATATAAATCATTGAATATTTTATATATAACAACATTAATTTCATGAATAATATCAGGGCTGAGGATTTAGCTCAGCGGTGTAAGTGCCTGTTTGATGAATATGAGGTCATGAATTTGATCCCTAGTACAAAAAAAAAAAAGAATTTCATATATAGTATTAGCATATATTTCTTAAGTTTTGTTTATGAGAATACTTTTAAAATTGTAAATATATAACTAAAGGTGGTAGTATTTATATAAAACACTAAAATTTTTCATTTATTAGGGGTTATATAGAAGAAAATGCATTCTTAAAAAGTTTTACTTAAAGGTAGAATTGTTGATATTTATTCTTTAATTTGTCTCAGTCATGATACACTTCTTGGTTCATTTTATTTTGCTAAAAATAATGGAGAACAAAATGCTCCAAAATAAAGCTGACAAGCTTTCTATGGAAATTTAGCTCTAATTGCTATAATAATCAGATAAGGAAACATTTAAACACACAATCAACTCTCAAGTAGTGTCAATATATTTATGAATGAACCAAAACTTAACATTTACTTCTCTTAACTATATATAAAGTTTCCATAAACTATTTTTAATAAAGTGAAATGATTCTCAAAATGTTGATGGTTAATATATACCAAATATTTGAATAAGTGTTAGTAACTATATTTTGAAAACATTAAATTTTTTTAATTTATCTTCATCATCACACCAAGTGTCATACTGTACCTAGAGTAGGCACTTTACATGAAATTTAACAATTTGGGGAGCACTTTTTAAAAAGATTATTTGATCATATTTGTGTAATTAAAATAATTGCATTTATTTCAATTTCAATTGCAGCACAGTTGTTCCCATCCATTACAGTGATATGAAATAAAATAAATACTCTGTTCTTCTAATAATGTGGTTTTACATCAATTTACATCCTCCAGTATTCACTATATACATTCTATTGGATGATTTTATACTTCTGTCTTTTAATTTCAGAGAATATCCAGTGAGGACATGGAAAAGAAAAATGTATCTTTGATGACAGAATTTGTTCTCACAGGACTTACAGATCATCAAGGGCTGCAGGTCCCCCTGTTCCTAGTGTTCTTGGTGATATACCTCATCACCCTTGTGGGGAACCTTGGTCTGATAGTGCTCATCTGGAATGACCCTCATCTTCACACCCCCATGTACTTATTCCTTGGCAGTCTAGCCTTTGTGGATGCATGGATATCTTCCACAGTGACTCCCAAGATGCTGGTCAACTTGATAGTCAAGAGCAAGTTGATGTCTCTCTCTGAATGCATGATACAATTTTTTGCTTTTGCGTTTGGTGGAACTACAGAATGCTTTCTTTTAGGAACAATGGCTTATGATCGCTGTATTGCCATATGTAAACCTTTACTCTATCCAGTTATTATGTCCAATAGAGTATGCATTCGCCTATTAGTTTTATCATTTGTAGGTGGTTTTCTTCATGCTTTAATTCACGAAGGGCTTTTACTCAGATTAACTTTCTGTAATTCTAACATAATACATCACTTTTATTGTGACATTATACCATTATTTAAGATTTCCTGTACTGATCCTTCTATTAATTTTCTAATGGTATTTATTTTGTCTGGTTCAATTCAAGTATTCACCATTGTGATCGTTCTTGTTTCTTATACACTAGTTCTCTTTACAATTTTAAAAAAGAAGTCTCTCAAAGGCATAAGGAAAGCTTTCTCCACCTGTGGAGCCCATCTGTTGTCTGTGTCTTTATACTACGGCCCCCTTCTCTTCATGTACGTGCTCCCTGCGTCTCAACAAACAGATGGTCAAGGTATGATGGATTCTCTATTTTACACGGTACTAATCCCTGTATTAAATCCAATTATCTACAGTCTGAGAAACAAGCAAGTAATAGATTCACTGACAAAAATGTTAAAGAGAAATATTTAGATCTCCTATGTAATATGTCAGGTCTATTTTGATATAAAACTGCTACCTGAGCATGGTGTTACATGCCAGTAACCTCTAATGTCAGCATTGGGAGACTAAGGAAAGAGGATTGCTATGAGCTCAAGGTCATCATGAACTATGTCTTGAGACCCTGTCTCAAAAAAAAAATGTAAATAACCAAGCCGAGAAGTTGCTACAGAAAATTTCTAGTTATATATGTATATGTTTGGGGAAGTGTTCAGAGATTTTTGCAATTAAAATTGTCCTGCTCCTCCTTTTTTATCTGATTAAATAAGTCTATAAAACAATTTAATGATTTATGATGATACAAATATAACTCTCAAAGTGTTAAAATTATGTTTTATTTCACAACAAAAATTTATTCAAGTATCAAGTTACATGAAATAAACTAGAAGACAAATGATATTTCACTAGCAGATACATTTTCTGTGTGGTTTATTAATGCATTAGGTACTAAAATAGCATAATTTCTTTTCAAATGGTTTAGGGAAAATAAATAACACATCTGACAGAGTTGGATAGCCTGGGGACTCGTATTATACTGGCTCCAGTTTGTGGGTTTTTCTTTGGTTGAACAGTTGAAAATCTCAGAAAACCTATTCAACCTTTAAATTTCCTTTTCTGATTTTGTTGGGAAATGGTGAACTTTTGTAGCAATGCACCTAATTTTTCATAATGGATAGACACATAAAATGCAATGCAGCCATGAAAAATAAGAGACTGTGAAGGCAGGGCCAAACTCTAAGAGGACTCAGCTCATTCTGCTATTGCGAATAATGACAAGGGGCTTGCTGACTCACTTTTAAATGATTTCTTTGAAGGCTTTATTTAGATAATACTAGGCAAAGTGTAAAATTTTAGTAATTCAGAGAGTGAGCAGGTGATATGGATAATTAAGTTAGTATGTATGTGGAGAAAAAAGTTGCAGAATTAAACAGGAAATTGTCTCAATCTTCTTAGAAATTAAACAAACCAGAAAAGTAAGTCAGTAATAAGAACAACTCAAATATGTTACTGAAACAAATGACTTTAAACACATATTATCAAAGAACAGATAAGGTGAAGATTTGATGCTATAGTACCCAGTGGGTGTTTGAAAATGAGCCTGTTTGGAAACTTTGTGCTTGCAAAGTTCTTAAATGCTAGATTTTCTTCATATTCTTTACACCTTAAGTACAGTGAGTGAGAAATATTCCTTGTTATCCTTGCCCTTCTTCTCCTACTGAAATTCTGTACACATTCCTACTGATCTGAATGAGAATCTTAATCTAAAAATTACTCACTTCTGAATTTGGGATGTTCTTTTTTTTATATCTTCTATCTTGCTAATACTAGCTTCCTTGTCAAACATTGCTGCCAAATGTTTTTTTCTATACAGAATTCTCATTAATTTTTGTTCTTCTTCAACAACTTTAGTAAATATTTTACTACCATATTATGTGCATATGTGTCATATGTAAGTAGATATGAATATATAAATAAAGGTATATATGGATGTGTTTGTTTATTCATGTGAATATATAGGTTGCATGATATGCATATATTTTTAACATGCTTGTATCCTGAATTATTTTTGGTTTTCTCTTTTCTTTCTTTCTTTTCTTCCTTTTTGTTTAGGTTCTAGAAATTGAACCTAGAACCATTGTGGCCAGTCATTTTTTAAAAACAGAGAGGATGTCATTAGATGACTAAGTTGCCCATTCTGGGATTGAACTTGCAATCCTTCTGTGTCAGTCTCCTGCAGTATTGGGGTTACATTAAGGACTTTTCTAAAATCTTTATCTTAACTCTGCTGCTGCAGCCAAAATGTGTTACTGAAAGTCTTCTGGACACATCTCACTCCTGGCATACTGTTTTGGTCATATAGCTCTTGTCACAAAGTTCCATGTAGCATAACACACTTTGAATTAAGTCTATCTCAAATGTTACTCCCTCCATGAAAATAGTTTGTTCCTTTTCAAATATGTATGAGATGTAGGTAATGAAACTAATATTGTCCGTATTTTCTAGATTACCCAAAGAAAGAGTAGTTGTTATTGTTGGAGAATAGACCAACTAAAATACAGGTATTGGAGTGGTGCTGTAGTGTGATGCCTTATGAAAGAAAAGTTGACCAAGGTCCCAGATACTTGTAAATTGTAGGTCTGATTATATATATATATATATATATATATATATATATATATATATGAAAAGCTTTCAAAATGTACAAAAAGTTAGAAACTCAGTTAAAATGAACAAACACTTAAATGACAATTCACTTGATAAATTAGGGCAAAAAGACACACTGAACATCACTGGTAATCAGGAAATGCAAATAAAACCTCACCGAGATATCACATCATACTAAAATGGATACATTTGTAAAGGTTATCCTTACCAGAAGTAGTAATGTAAAACTTTTAGAGCCAAAAATAAGCAACTGTGTGGACTAAAAGATAATTGCCAAAATATAAGGAATCAGTCAGGTTATTTAAAATTTTGACTAGGTAATACTTACCTGTGTAGAACATATTTTTTCCACCTTTGTGTACAGTATTTGTATGAATTCACTTTTATTTTCTCTCTCCATATTTCCTTGTTATTCCAAAAAGCCTATGTGAGCCAGGTGAAGTAACATGGTCATTGCTTTTCTAAATTTTGCCAGTGGAAGTTAACAAAAAAATAATCTTATACTATGCATTTAGTTACATATTATGCTTCGGAAACCAAATCTAAATGCCAAACAAATGCAGCCTTTTCTGCATGTTTACTGAACAATTCTATTGTTAATTCTCAAAAAGAGAACATGAGCATGTTATTATCATGATATAGTTTCTCAAAAGCAGTATGTTCGTGTAAGCAATAAAGGTCCTCATCTAACCTCCAAACCTTGGGTACTGTTGTCTATGCTACCTGCTTGTTCACATCTAAATCTTTCCTGCTTCTTCCTTTGGAAGATAATCTCATTTAAAATTTTTGATCTATCTAATGATTAAGACTCTATGGCCAGGGGTTTAGTTCAGTGGCATAAATGCCTACCTGGGAAGCTCCAGGTCATGAGGTTGTTCCAGGGTGCGTGAGCTCACACACACACAGACACACACACACACACACACACACAGACACACACAGACACACACACACACACAGACTAATCTCTTGAATGTAACCAATGTCTACAGGTGTTACTATGCAAGAAATACAAACTCTTGAGACACCATTGGTAACTACTAAATGTGAATCTGTGTTTGTGTAAGATGTTCATGAAATTTGTATACACTGAGGTTTCAGGAGCAAAATTCTGTGTATCTTGCCACTAAGCTCCTTTGTCTTATCGTTCCATTGCCTCTTCCCTGGATATTCGCTAGTAAAGATTCTCATTAGATTTAATCTTAAATTGGCATAGCTAAAAAAGGGTCTGGAATTTGAACTATAATTCTGCCTGTGGCAACCTGTGGTCAGATCCTGAAGGAAACCTAAAACATTGTCCTTCTTAAGCTTATATTTTGATTACCTTGTATTATGGTTGATGTATTATGTCAGCTTGAGCTGTTTAGAAGTTTACCTGAGGGACTCAGCAGGGATCCAATGTTCTTACTTTGTAAATATCCTCATCTAGTGCAAGAGGAGGGCACAGAGATTTGTGAGTGCTACCCCCACTGAGGCGGGCAGGGATGGTCTGTGTACAATGTAAGGGAGGAGAGTTTGCTCTCGCTCCTTTTGCTCTGGCTGCTGCCCTGTATTGCCACAGTGCCATGCAATCCTGCTGTGGGGCTAGCCAATTATGGACTGAAGGCTTTCCTTTCCTTCTTTCATTTAGGGTGTTGGGCATTTTGTCCCAGCAATAACAAAAAAGTAACCAAGACGGCTTGGACAAAATCATACAAATGAGAACATGCAGAACACCACATTTTATGTATAAAGCCTTCTTAACTCTGTCACAAATGTTTCATGGGTTAGAAAATATTCCGTGCAGTATAATATCAGTTACTTACATTGGCGCTTCCTACAGTGACATGATGTTTATGATTCTAAATCGTGTAATGCCCAGTGGAAGAAAGGGAAGTTCTCTGCATACAGACTGTCCAAGTTTCTACAAGGCGCAGTGGAATGGTTCCCTAAAGAGACTCCTGGGACTTTCCTGGGAAACTTAGCTTCCCAATTTTTTCTTTTAGCACAATGCAGATTTAGAAGTGGTCAACTCATTTTTTGGTAGGCGTGTTTATATACACAACATTTTCACAGCTTGGGAAATGAAGTCCCCAAAACAAATCAATATGCCTGGAATTTCTACCTATATTTTATGCATCCTGTGCCATAATTGTATTTTTTCTATTTATAAAGCTTAACAGGTTTATAGAGGGATTCAATATGGCTGAATAGAGAAAAAGTTTCTTTCAGAACTACTCAGAGTAATTTAACTCAGACAAAGGGAACTGGAAGAAAAGGGATGTGCATACACCTTGAAACTAAAATCAATCTGACCTAAGAGACTTCAGATCAAGCCAAACATAGTTAAATGATGTAATAAAGTGGCCAGCCAGCCTGTCTGGTAGCTAGTGGTCACAAGATTGGGATGATTCCCACCATACATGGAATCTGAAAGAGAGAGAGAGAGAGAGAGAGAGAGAGAACAAAAGAATATCCTAAAATATTGTGACTAAATCAAGTCATAAAGGATGTACTTGGGATGCGAGTTTCTCTGTCCCTTCTGCTTCCTCCAAATAGAGACTGCACAGTTACCAGTAAATTCTGTGGACATGAACTACTCCCCCCCCACCCCATCATTTGCCAGTTTTTCATTTTTTAAAAAAAATTTTCCTTTTCTTTCTTTCTTTCTTTCTTTCTTTCTTTCTTTCTTTCTTTCTTTCTTCCTTCCTTCCTTTCTTTCTTTCTTTCTTTCTTTCTTTCTTTCTTTTTCTTTTTCTTTTTCTTTTTCTTTCTCCTTTGCTTTTCATTACTTTTATGCACCAGAGTACTGACTGGAACCACAAGCA